ATAGAAATCATATATAACAATCTGTCGGCCTAAATATTACGTAGCACGAGCATGTGATGACGTCGCTTATTGGCACGAGATTTTTCTTTCCTCCGCATGCTCCTCCTAATGGGATTACTTTTCATATGCCATTCATTAAAAATAAAAGCAGAATTGTTTTAAGGTAARCTTGTAATTTGAAGTCGTTTTGTGGCTTCTTTCACACTTTTTTATTTTTACATAAATATAAAAGTCCAGGTTTTAGTCTGTTATGAAGAACCAAAGGGTGGATCGGATGGAATCCAGTTTTCTGAGTATTACCAGCACATGTACCCAAATGAAACCACTCACTTAGGTCATCCTTCATAGTTTTTCCGTCTCAGTCCAGGGGCCCCTCAGCCTGAGGGCTTGGGCTGCAGAAGGATTAACTATAACCCATCTCCCAGATGTGAGGGACCACAAAAGCCCCTCTGTTCTGCAGCGCCCGGTCAGAAATGAACCTTTGCAGCTTGGAAACAGATTTGAAGGGTGTCAAGTGCCACATACATGTCCACACTGCCCCACTGGTCAGACTAATAACAGGATGTCTTTGAAGAAAGTGAAAAGATAAAGCTGCTGATAAAATGGAAGCATGCATAATTTAAAAGTCTGTCTTGCAAGATGGAGTTAAAATGCTCCACTCTGACTTTCTGGCCTGATGGAGTCCAGCTGGCCTGAGTGGATGCAGAAAGAAGGAAGAGATGTAAAAACTGCTTTAAATCTCTGTGTGCTTATATTCTGTGCAAATAGATATATTTAATTGGAAGTGACTTTAAACTTTTGTCACATAGCCTACTAACCATTGCTTATCTATTCTATTAACCRGTAACAGAAGCTCTAATGTAAAATAAATTTTAACCCATATTCAACCTACAATAAGTTTAATTTTAGATACTTAACCCTTGTTATCTTAATTTCTAACTATACTATAATGTACTGTTGATGCTCAGTGATCCCTAAATCCTAATCTTAACCAGATGGGTAGATTAACTTAGGTTGGTGTTTTTCAGGGCTCTGGTCACCATTTTATTGGTCAACGGGGCAACTGATGGCTGATAGGCAAAACCATTTATTATTTTTGGCCAGTGTGCATTTTGTATTCTAAAATGATACATAAAATTTGCTAACTGAAACATATTTAACCTTGCTAAGAAGAACTTGCGCAGAAGAGGTCTCTTGCTGGTTGTAGCAGCAGTTGCTGCATCTTCATTTTCCTGCAYGGTGGTGGGGTAGGCATGCTCAGGTGTGGTTGAGCGCTGATTTTTTAAAACGTGGCCTAGAATAAATTGGTCCACCAWATAAACGAGCTCCATCTAGATTTTAGGAATTTACAGTAGTTTACTGAAAATCAGTGGCTGTCAAGGTGGCTACAGAGAGACCAGTGGCAGGTGCTCCTTATCATGTCTACAAAGTGTTTTTAAAAACGGCAAAAGTACAAAGTATCCAGAATTCTTTAAGTATCTAATACAACTAGCATTGTTGTCTAAAATGTTAAACTTTGTCTATGAGCGATCACAACCTTTTCAAACATGATGGGTTCTTTTCTAATTACCAATAAATTAAAGTTGGCAAMAGATCCCTTTTGAAATGCGTCATTCTGACTTGAGTTGACATTATGTTCTAGTAAATAAAAAAGTGATCCGCTGCCAGAAAACACAAGGATGCCACAATCGCCTCCTCCTCATTCTTTGTGCAATTATGAGACCTATAATGACTCAAATATGTAAATTGGACRAGATGTTTGTTAAAATTTCTTGTCCCAGTTATAACTTCATGAGGTTTTGTGACTTGTAAAAAGTTGACCATAGGACCATAAATTAAAGTACAGCTGCTAAGTCAGCAGAACGAGTGTAAAAGAAAAATGTTGCTTCAGAAAAAAACTCTTGAAACTAACAGTTGCCATTGCTGGCTTTGGAAAATGCATTTTTATTCCTTGGCCACGGATGTGAATACTGAGCTTAACTTCTAACCCACACTGATTTTGACCTATCCCTAAAACATGTCAAACTCGCTTGGTATGGTTGATTCCTGATAAAACTGCTCTAAAAAACCTGGGGTTATTGGTAAAGACTTAGTCATTCCAAACTATTTGTTTCTTTTAAGTAAATGATTTTGCATTCACTGTAACATTCTGTTGATGACTGTTGTTAGTGAAGGTATTGATCCATAAAGCTACAACAATGGTGCTTTTTTCTGTAAAACTGGTAGAAATGGTGTTGAATAAATGTAATCAGTTAGGAGGTTGGTGTGCKTGTTTTCAGTTTCTCTTCTTGGAAAGGTGGAGTTCAACAGGAAGTTGAAGTTCATTGTGCAGACTTGGTGTATTAAATTAAAAATGGTTACACTATACAGTGACTACAGTCCAGTGGTCAGGACCATGTTCTTGTAATCCTGAGGCAGGTTTGAGCCCGGGTTGTGTCAAAGGGCATCCATAGTAAAACAAAACCAAATTTCTGGTGTTAATTTGCTCATTGTTCAAATTCAAGAATCTTTGTGGCAGGAAAGCAGCAAAAGGCGCAACATAAACACCTCTGATAACTAGTGATACATTGAACTAATTACCTTCACTTTAGAATAGGGTTGGGCATAATCGTATCGTGTGCAGTTAATCGTCAGAAAAGCATTAATCGATTATTTTTTGGCACTTGATGATTAATACGATTAATGCCACCAGGCAGACTGACTGGATCTTTCCCCGGTCAGTCCACTCGGTGTTCCTCTCTGCTTCAAATATGATGAACTTTTGAACAAAAGTTCTGTGATTTATTTATCTATCAACACAATTTAAAATTTGATGTACAGCCTGAAGTCTGTGATTTTGACACAATTTGGAACAGATTTTTCTGAAGAGCAAATCTTTCCCACTAAATTGGTCATGTGACCAGGACATAAGGGTGTCCAGGGACTCCAGGGGATTAATCGTCAAATTAATCATTATCGGCTAAATACCACAATTAATCGTGAATAATTTTTTTGCCAATATCGCCCAATCCTATTTTAGAGCATCCTGAAGATGAAAGGTTCTTAACCAATGAGGATATCAAACAATAAAGGATGGTCTGATGAAGGTCTACTTTGCCGTCATAGAAATTATGTAAAATCAAAATCTTAAAATAAAGTGATCAGTCGTGGAATAAGCTTGACATTTTTTTTAGTGAAAGTTTTAAAACACAGGCCAGTAAGAAGTGCTGAATTTTTAACTGGATTGATTTTTCTGCCACAGGTCAGGATTACTTTGTCGTTTCAGACAGATTTAGAATGCAGTGGGATGAAATGGTGTCTCACAGTACAAAATGACTCCAAACAAGACAATGATTCAGTGCAATGACCGTGCTAACGGCAAAAAAGTGCAACAAAWACCAGAGTTGGGTATGAAACAGTTGAAAACATGAGTTGTTATAATTGTAACCATAAAGTGAACCATAATGAACTAAAAGGTTTTAACGTAAGAATCATGCATGAAATATCTCCTCAGTTTTGAAAGTGCCATTTCACACATTTCAGAGTTGATGGATATTTGCCTGCTTGGCTTKAACTTCAGCTGTGTGGTTTTGTGAGTCAATCATGGTTTCATGAAGTTAATTGCAGATGGTGTGAAACCACAAAAGCTTTTTTTTTAAAATTTGCGAGACTTTAAGATGTGAAAGGTGTTTAAAAATGTGATTTTGTGAAAGTGTCGGAGCAGAGCAGATTCGTTGTGCAACTGATGTTTTGCAAAGATTGACCACTCATTCGTGTCCTGACTTAAGTTGGACAGTGAAAGTAGTCATGTGCAGGGGCGGTTCTAGGGGCGGGGCCACWGGGGCATTGGCCCCAGCTGAAGTCTGATTGGCCCCCTGAAGTGCCCCTGCCCTGTCACTCATCTGTCCTTTACCCAAGAGTGATGATGATGGATGCAGTTCCATGTTCAAACACTAGTTGTGATAATGAGCCAAATAGTAAAGTCCAGAATGAATCAAGCTTACAGAATTTTTCTCTTCATAAAATATGAACAATTCTGCAAAAAAGTCTTAACTGAYAAATGACAGCTGGATTTTCTCACATGTTGTGTGTTTGAAAATATTTTATCTGTACAGTAAAATGTATGAAACTGGTGAAAATTTACTGTGCAAGATTTTTGGTACCACTATACAATCAAGCTCCCCTTATAGATGGCTTATAAAGAGTTTATAGATAGGTTATTAATTCATTTGTAAAGTTTACACTTCTTAAATCGTTGTTAAATGAAACTAGACAATTTTCTCTTTCACGTCCCCAATTATTGCTTAATAAACGCTTATTACTAATTTTTAAAGTGTTTACAGATTAATCTATAAACTCTTTAAAAGCCATCTATAAGGAAGGGGGCTTTATTGTACCTTTTTTTTAAAAAAATTTTAATTACATTACAAGTGTTTTAAGTGTAAAATGTATACACTGGGAATTTGTGTGAAAGGATGCTGAACAAAGACTTGGCACCTCTATGAATATTGTGGCCCCTTGATGGCCCCCTTACTCAGAAAAATCCTAGATCCRCCACTGGTCACATGCCAGTATGGTTTCTTTTAATCATGTTGGACATGCTTGAGATCTTTGCAGAATAGTAAAGTTTTTCCTGGTATGTTAAGAACATTAGTTTTAGAACTTAAGTCCACAGAGATATGTCTGAACATGCACTCATAAATGCAGAAAGTAATAGTTTCTGGGGGTAAGGATGATCATATTGTTGTRGTGTAGCTCCACCTTGTGTCCGTCTCACGTAATAACAGTCAAGCCAATTGACTTTTCAGTAAGTACCATTTTTAAGACAAAGTGGAATTCCTGAACTCCAACRTATGCTTCCTTATTTTGTTGTTGACCAGTTTATTGGTGGAGAAATTAGAAAGCAGCCTCTCAACATTTCCTCTCTTTCCACCCACAGGATTGACAGCTTCCCTGTCTCGCAAGCAAAATGAGCTGGAGCTTCCTCACACGTCTGCTGGACGAGATTTCCAACCACTCCACCTTCGTGGGTAAAATCTGGCTCACGCTCCTCATCGTGTTCCGCATCGTGCTGACGGCGGTGGGCGGCGAGTCGATCTACTACGATGAGCAGAGTAAATTTGTGTGCAACACGCAGCAGCCCGGGTGCGAGAACGTGTGCTACGACGCCTTTGCGCCGCTCTCGCACATCCGCTTCTGGGTGTTTCAGGTGATCATGATCACCACGCCGACCATCATGTACCTCGGCTTCGCCATGCACAAGATCGCCCGCATGGACGACGACGACTACGGTTCCCGGCGCAGGAAGAAGATGCCCATAGTGAGCCGTGGAGCCAACAGAGACTAYGAGGAAGCGGAGGACAACGGAGAGGAAGATCCCATGATCCAAGAGGAGATCGAACCGGAAAAAGAAAAGGAAGTTGCAGAGAATCCCAAAAAGAAGCACGATGGGCGACGTCGCATCAAAAGGGATGGTCTGATGAAGGTCTACGTTTTCCAGCTGCTATCGCGTGCAGTTTTTGAGGTCTCCTTCCTGTTTGGGCAGTATGTTYTGTACGGGATGGAGGTGGCGCCGTCGTATATTTGCACACGCTCCCCTTGCCCGCACACAGTGGATTGCTTCATCTCTCGTCCGACCGAGAAGACCATCTTCCTGCTCATCATGTATGGCGTCAGCGCTCTGTGCCTGCTCTTTACCGTCCTGGAGATCATCCACCTTGGCGTTAGTGGAATCCGCGACTGCTTCTGCACGCCACGGTCTCAGTCTTCACCATCTCGTCAATCGGCCCTAGCCAGCCAGAGGTCCTCCATCTCCCGTCAGCCCTCGGCACCCCCAGGCTACCACACGGCTCTGAAGAAAGACCCGTCTGGGAAAATGGGCTTCAGGGACAACCTGGGCGACTCGGGCCGCGAGTCCTTTGGAGAYGAGGCGTCGTCTCGGGAGCTGGAGAGGCTTCGCAGACACTTAAAACTGGCCCAGCAGCATCTGGATTTGGCGTACCAAAATGAGGAAGGCAGCCCGTCRCGCAGCAGCAGTCCGGAGTCGAACGGCACTGCAGTGGAGCAGAACAGACTAAACTTTGCCCAGGAGAAGCAGAGTAGTACCTGCGATAAAGGTAATGTTTGTTTTTCACCACACTGCTTCTTATTTTGTCCATTTTATTGAAGTAAAAATGTACTTAACTGCTCAAATTGTCTTTACAGGTCTCCGTGCGTAGGCTCTCAACAGCTAAGTGATCAAAAGAGGAGCAGTGAGGACAAAAGGGAAATGAGCAGGGAGTGTGTCTGTRTGATTGTGACTCTGTGGCGTCACTTGAGGTATATGAAGACAGCCCAAGCCTTCCAGTGTTACGGCCAGCCGTCGCCGAGCATCATCAAAAAATAACCAACACGAAGTGATCGTTTCAGCTCAGCAAAACTCGAGACGACAGCCTGTCTGAAGACCCAAAGTGCTTTCTGCCTTCCATCGTGAAACAAGAATGGTTGACGTATTTCTCCCTCAGGGCAGCTATATTTTTATATAAATATATACGGATATTTTATCATGAGACTTCTAGTTATTTTATTCCTTTTGGTCATCTGTTTGAAGTTTAGTTTGTGAGCCTTAGATTTAAACTGGAATTCCTTCTTTTATTGTGTTTTTAAGGTAAGACCAAGCCAATTTTTATATATTTTTACTTTTTGGAGTTTTGTACTTTGAGAGAAAGTGAGTGGGTGATATTAGGAGCAAATAAACAAACAAGGCACCGCTTTTGGATGAAAGGTACTAGGCTTGTTGTCTTGCKTATGAAGACTTAACAAGGTAATTGTCACATAAGGGCTTCTTTAAGTGTGTTTTTATTTTGTTTGGCGCTTCACAATTCTAGGACTTGTGAGTCGCAGGGTTTTTAGCTTGGAGAGCTAATCCTGGGTCTGATGGAACACATTGGAATATAAACAGTTTACCTGCTCTGGGCAGATTCATTTCATGGAAAATGTCAGCCTCTTCTGTTGTGTTCCTGTGTAGTTATTTTTTTTTCCCAATGAGCATCATGAGTCTCCGATTCTTAGCAGAGAAACACTTTCCTCCAGCGTACTCATCAGTACACTAAAGTGAACTTATTTTAGAGTTGGTACCTTTTTATTCCATTATTTTAAAAAAAACAGCAGCATTTTCCTCTTCCATTTTAGGATGAGACAACTTCACTGCATTCCTTTTACATTTTTCCTTGCGTTCCTTTAAGAAAACTATACAAATTTTGATAGAACTGCCTTGTTTTTGTTGTGGTTTTGATAAGCTCTTTAGTGGTCACAATTGGTGGGCTTTTTTTTTTCCTTATTCTTGGCTGCTACAGTGATTCTCCAGTTTTTATGTATTTTGTAAATGTGTTTAGCATAGCATTTTTTTTCTTGAGAAATATGCAGCTGCAGATCCATATRGGATGGGTTGTAGCGCTGACACTGCTTCTTTCACATGTGCTTGTATTCTTAGCTTATCAGTTTCTGTGCTGTAGTTGGAGTTTAAGCTGGTTATTGTGCGATAATGCGGCTGTGTTGAACCTACTTCATAGTGCAGGCCTCTTGATGGTAACTGGAACACACTTGAGGTGCCTTTGTCCAAAGGAACAAACCTGGGTAATGCTTGAAGAAAAAACCTCTTAATAATGTCTTTATTATTTTTAAATGTTTGTTACTGTTCTTTATTTTTATATCTTAAGTATTGTTATGCTCTCTTCACTGTAGCAGATTATTATTTTTATTTTACTTGGATGATATTCACTATAATCTGTTACCTGGAACTGGAATTTGAGTGTACTGGTGTGTTTTGAACAGGGTTTGGTACAGGTTTAAGTGCAGCAGTTTTTTTTTCATTGCTAATCTGTTGCTCATTTTCTAAGGTACTATTTAAGTGTTTACTTTTTCAGCTCATGCTTGTTCTGTTCAGTTAGCTGAATTGATGTTCCTGTACCAGGTTTATTATCTGAAAGTGCTGATTTCTGAAGTTTTTGCTCCAGATTTTAAATGGTTTAAAAACAAATCATTTCAATGTGAATTTAATGCCTTGAGTGCACTCTTAAGATGCCATCTTTTGTATTCTGACGCCTACCTACAGTGCCATTTTTACCAACTCAAATAATGTCATCTCAGATATTTTTGACCAACGTTTTTGTACTTTTTTATACTTTTTGTATTGACTAGTACTTTGTGATTAGTTTTTAAAATAAATTTTCCAACTTGTTCATTTGTCTCACTGGTGTTTTCACTTTTGGGAAATTTTAATATGGTTAAAACGAAATGTTTAAAGTCCACTTTAATGAATTCAGTTGCACAGAGTATTTTTAATTTAAATATCTGCAACTTAGCAATGTAGTGTGTTTAAGCAGATGTTTGTTCAAATACAAGTGTAACTGCAGTTAGAATTGTTTTCTAATTGTACTAAGTCAACATTTTAATTCTTCCTTTTAATGAGAACGAAGCCTACAGATAAACAAATGGCTCCAACTGCTGCAACAATCAGCAAAGCAAATGTAGCATTAAGTCCAGTCTCAGCATCTTCATTGGAGAGGCTCAGACCCAGAAACCTCACTGGGTGCTCAGGAACCGGGGCAGTTGTTGCTGGAAAAAAAATAAGACAAGGCAATCTTTACATATACTGTTAAAATACCTAATAACAGTAAAACTCTTCAGTACTAAGTTTTAAAGTAGACATATGCTTTTAAACCCTTTTCATGTTTAAATCATTCAGTTGGGRTCTTTAGGGACAACAATGCTTTGGTCTGAATTACTTCTTATTCTAATTTTACCAGCTYCTCTTTTCTGATGTGCATCTCTAAAGCAGCTGGTTTTGTTACTGTTCCTTTAAGATGCCTCAAGCCCCGCCCCCCTCCAGCTTCARAACCGGTCCACTCCGGTTTGAGAGGTGGTTATGTTTTCTAGCGGTGCAGAGGTGTTTTATTTACAATTTAATTAAAAGTTGTCAACAGAAGACTTGTCCATCCAGCCTTACAAATTGGAGCCAGAGTCTGACCCAGAACCAGAGGAGAATTAAGGTGAGGAAATTGTTAGYCCAGACCTTATTTGACAATTYCGTTGCAGATMATTTGATGTAATAGTTCAGAAAACATCATAGAAAATAGAGAAAACTGAACAGGCTGAAAAATATGACCCAAACAGAATATAAAGATACCTTTGCTGCACCAGGGGAAACTAAATCCAACTTTTCTACTCCTAGAGACTCCTCCTTCACAACTAAAAAAGTGGATTTTTGCTAGATATGTCTCCTTTAAACAAAGATGCCATATACAGTGGTTTGCAAAAGTATTCATACCCCTTGAACTTTTCCATATTTTGTCACATTACAACC